ACATACTTATGCCAATATCATTAACATAATTCTCAGGTCATGTAATAGTTCCCCTTACCCTTCTTGCTCTGTTCAGAGGAGGCCTCATCCCGGAACTCCTCTGTCTCTTCCTCCTCTAGCTGGGAGTGCCTCCTCATCCACATCCCCATCTGCTCCTGGCTTCATGTCGTGGTGCGACTGTTTACATATAGGAGAGAAATACCTTTCGCAAATGCGTGTACCAACTGCCAACGGTTTGCCTTTAGTGCAACCAAAACGAAGCGAGAATAGCCAAGAGGCCAAATAATGCGATAGGCATTCTGCTGGGTATTCTAATGAGGACTGTGCAACGTGCAAGTTACCAGAACAATTCAGTGAATACAATATTTCTAGTATATGCGTAGATATATAGTACAGAACGATAAAGTATATGTATACTATATATATGTATAATACTATTAATAGTATATAGTATACATATACTATATATATATATATATATATATAGTATATGCATAGATATATGATGAGTGTGATATCTGAGTGCGGCTCTATACCGGAATGTCCTTGGCAAGCTTCTTCACCATGCCCTCGAGGTAGAGCGGCAGGCTCTTCGGCGGCTGGTTGCTGTAGGTGAAGAAGTGTGGGCTGGAGCGCGCTAGCAGACGCAGGGCTCGCCAGCCGTAGTTACCGTCGTTCACCAACCTGCATAGCAACAGAAGCTACGTTCAACATAGTAACCGTACAGAAGTACTGAAACAAGAAACAGGGAAAACCTCTGTAAACAGTTCTTGTTCTTGTTCTTGTGTTAACTTCAGTAAATAGAAGTGCATAGCAATGTTCGTTATGACGCGATGGCTGGAGAGGGTGTCTTTCACACAGGGTACCCCGATGACCGAGGCCAGAGACAAATTCGACCCTCATCTGTTGCACGATTCAATGTATACCTGCGTGAACTACTAACAGTCGCTATCCCACAATAGCGTCGAATTTGCGTGAAAATGCTTTCTGTTGGCGATGTGGCCCCGGGACACCTTAGCTCACTTGTTAGTTTAACACGTAGTTGTGATGTTGGAAGGCGAGAGGCTGAGAGCGTACTTTTCACTCTTGGGAACTTCTGCGGGATGCTCCACCTGGTATATCGCATCCTCGAAGAACTCCTCCAGGGACGGAAGGAACACTCTGCATTCACAATAGAAACTAATATAAATATGTAATATATATATAATAAATAAATAAATAAATAAATATATAATATATATATATATACAGGCACATACAACATATACATGACTACAACAAACATGTTTACAAATTTAACAAGCGATTCGTACATCAGTAGAGATATATAGTGTCAATGCAGCATAACACTCGGCAATACAAATCTTTTTATCCCCAGTACCTAGATAATAGCCAACGAGAATTAATTTGATAAGATATTGAATGTTAGGCGTACCTGTCGCTGGCACGGCAGGCTGCTAGGTTGTCTGGGGTGAGATTCCACAGTCTGGATAGTTCCGGGTTGCCCATGTTAATCCGCTTAGTGTCTTTCAGTCTGTAGTCATCTGCGATGCTACGCTTTCGAGCCCTGAATACGAGCAATTACACGTTTATCCGATTAGTCACAGACTTAATAAACGATGATGATTAATCTGAATTGTTAAAGCTGATGATTAATGATTAATTAGTCCTGCTAAGCTTTTCCTTAATCCTGAAACACCTTCAGTTTCTTTTTCTGCATAACGTTGGTATTTGAGCAGAAGAACATCGTAGATATGCAACGGCAAAGAGAGAGACAGAGCGAGAGATGGACGTGCCACTCAATGCCCCGCATTGCTGTTGTACTCACCTCGCCTTGAATACTGGCTTCTCCGATTCCTTTAACAGTGGCTGCACAAAGCTTGGACATCCCTCGTTCTTCCAGTGGTTCCAGTTGACCTCTCGCTCTAGTGTATGCTGCCGAGACACAGACGTGCAGTTCTTGACACCGATTCTATTTTCGAGCGAGACTTAATTGTCGTCGCTCACATTCTTCATGTTAGCTCGTTACACAAATCAGATACTGTCATCATATATCTAAAATAAAACATACGTCGTATCATACATTGAAGACGAAAAGAAAAAGAATATTTTCAACGATATAAGCTTACTTTCACGATTTCTGCGAATCTTGCTCCTCCCGGTGGAGTTTCCTTGATCAACTGTAAAATGGCATGCAAAGGCTCACTCTTCTAAAGGTAAGTTCACTGAACAGATGCATTGAAAGTGAGGGAACTCGTTTATATTGCAAATGCAATAAAGATGATTTTACTCTCAGGAAACTAACTGGGAATCACCTAAAATGGAAATCAGACCACTGCCACTCTCAAACGTAAAAAAAAACAGATGTCTTTAGTCATTTAAACTTTAAGCATATATAGTTCAATAAATTAAAAGCCAGTGTTGTGGTAACGATGACGTGAAATTTATATGACAATCAAGTCACTGCTACAGCAGAGAGTTGCCTGCTTAATTACCTCATAGACACGGTCAACACAGTCGGATACCCACTTGCTTTGATCGTCGTTTAGTTCCTGCTGAACGCTACGAATTCACACACAAAATTCAGCGTTAGAATATAAGAGGTAGACCTGCGATCCTCCCCAGCGACGTCTCAGACACTAACCAGCCCCACAGAATTCAGGCCATGCTCAAAAAGATTCGTAATTTACAATTACCCAGCCCAGCATTTCTCATACAAGCACAGCCTACATCGGCTAGTTCTACATACTTACGTCTTAAATTTTACGGGGGCATTGAGAAATTGGTAGAGTATCAGGAACTGCACTAGCACTGAGCGACGAAAGTTGGAGTCGCTTAGCTCCAGATCCAAAAGCTGCAACGAGATTGTAACATGGCTCAGCAACTCAGACTTACACCATGACTATTTTCTCATCTGTATTGCATCTTTCATCTAGTATTTGTGTAGCCACTCGTTTCCTCAGAAGAGTAAAGCATTACGCATTACTGTTCACTAGTTCTACATTCGTTCACATAGTCAGATGGGTTGTTATACTAATTTTACTATTAATTGTCAGTAGAGAGCAGCACGTGCACGATCTTTTGTATTTTCAGCACCCAGCTGCAGAAGGTAGAAAGCACATCTGTTTTCACATGTGAGCACCTGAGTTTACCTTCTGGTTTGTGAGGTACTTGGCGAAATAGACGTCTTGTTCCAAGGGTCGGGATGTGGACACATGAGAACTGTTCTTCACATCGTCCAACTTGTAGCTCGCGAAACAGCGTAGCACCTCCTCCGTGTTCTGTACAAAGCAATGTTTACCTTATTGGCCCTCTATCCAAGATATTAAGCCTATATGTATATTCTTTAAACACCAGCTGATGCATCTACCCTATGCAAACCTGCACGATGAACGTATTCGCTTACGCTGCTTTTAACCTCACGCTAACAAGGCTATATCGTTGAACGTTGCGATTACTTTAATGTAGAGTAACTCAGGCACTTACATGCTGGAACTGTTTCCATGCGACTCGGCTGTAGACTTGCATCGGAGTCCTAAAGACGTCTTGTAGAGTCCAGAACTTTCTGTACAAGTTGTAGTCGATCGTGACTCTGCAAAAAAAGATTGACAGCAGGGCCAGCTGTTTATTATTGCACGCAGTTAATAACGTTATTACAACCAAGTGAGGAAAATAACTTGGGTGCCATTTTGCATGGTAGTTTTTTCGTATGAACTTTTACTTCTCATAATCTATATAGAGTCTCTAGTCCCAAGTGCGATTCATGTTATAATGACTACTTACTTAGACGACTCAGACATTTCGCCTTCTTCCATCTCAACAGCGATCGGCTTCTCCTCTTTGACCTCAGGAATGAGGTCATCGTCCATTGTCGAGCTATACTCTGTCATGTTCTCGACATTAAACTGACCTTGAAGATTTACACCTGTTCAGCAACAGAACGCTGCATTAGAAAGCAAAATTTTTAAATAGCTATGGCCCTAAGCCCTAGCCGTAAGTCGTAGCACTATGATCAACAATACATGAAACTTCTCATAAATAGTTACTCTGTACATTTCTACTGTGAGTGAAGGAAATACGCGACCCAGCCCTACCTGATTTCTCTGGAGGAGGAAAGAGTCTCACTAAAAACATCTGAATCTGTCCACAGAAGACGGTGTGTTGTGACTTAGAGAGCCGCTTCAGTATATCTGCAGGAAATAATAAACTTTAATGACGGCCACAATTAATTTATTTACTTCCCTTTAAATACCTACTCATAATCATAATATGCTTACCAAAATAATCACAATATATAAGCAATTATGCATGCACAACTTTTGCATTAGTGCCTCTCAAATGGAAAACAATGACTCGCAACTTAAAAGCAATACGTGGAATGATTTAAATGTGATTTCAATTGCAACTAGTATATATCATGTATAGCAGTTGTTCTGCATCGTCTTACCATTACACATCCTTAACAACAGGTTCTTTCCAACTCCATAGATAGGTTCCTACAATGCATAATAGCAGAGAAAATGCAATCAGTGCATGATTCTGGAAGCTCAGTTCAGTTACAGAAACAAAGCAACCATTTACTTGTGGAGTCAATAATCATGCAGACGACTCTTCGAGAAATGAATAAATACCACAAGCAAGTCACAAGAACAGGGGTAGAAATTAACTTTTGAACAAGGGAGTCCAACGGACTCCCTACCCTCAAAAAGAGGGAGTCCGCAGCAAAATGAGGGAGTCCGCAGTCTGAGGTTCAAAATTAAAGATATTAACAATAACGCATGTGCTTATTTTTAAGTTTCATGCGGGTTGCACATCTGCCAAATTTTCTTTGGACATTTTTTGAAAAAATACGGTAATTCCACGAGGCCGTGCTTCGGAACAAACTAGTTAATATGGCAGAATTTTCAGGGAGTCACACGGACTCCTGCGTATGTCAAATCAGGGAGTCCGACAGTAGATCAGGGAGTATTTGACTCCGGACTCCTGTTAATTTCACACCCTGCAAGAACAATGCATATTAAGCACGGTAGCAGAACCTGTTGGTGCATACTTACCCTGATGCCTAAACTGTAAAAATTAGTCGGTTAATTATAGGTTACAAGCCATCAGACATTGCGTCAACATAACATTCTGGTGAAACCCACCGATGTCCAAGCTGTAACATCCTCCAAGATATAGTTGAAGACATCCTTGCAAACGTCAAGTGTCTGCGTCTCAAATATATCCACGAGCATTTGGACAACTGTGAGTGGAGCGCAAAGGTCTGCAAAAGGCGCAAACACGATTTTAGTAATATATGTGACAAACTTTTAGTACATAGAATTTCTTTTACACAGGATAAAAACTCCTTTTACTCTCTCAAATAGTAGATATATATGTATAGTTATATGAAGAAAACTTATTTTATATATTGTGCCCATTTACAATGTGATATAGAGGTCACATGAGTTAATGATATAATTAATTATACACTACTAAATTACACTGTGCATGGATATAGTCACCTTTTATCAGAGCTTGCATTGCTAGCTTGACTACGGATACATAATCGTTAGCAGTACTGTTTCCAACCAGGAGTTCATATAGGTAGTCCTTGATGGCCTGGTCCATCGCAACTTTCTTCTCAACGTCACTGCCATTTATTTCTTTGAATTGTTTCTCCAACACTTCGAGCGACTGGCTATCATGAGTGTGACATTCTCTTGCTGCTTCCTATATAGAAATGTTATGCAAAAGTGCGAGTGCAATATTTTTCTGAGTTTATAATAGCCAATAGATTGAAATAGGTATCAGATCAAGTGTAGATGGTCCACCGTTATCCCGATACCTGGTTAGAAAGTTTGGTACAAATAGTGCTGGTAATAATTATCGGATATCAAAGACTATTTGCTCCTATTTACATTGCCACAAATAGCTAATCTTTGTAGGATTTTGCGAGATTTCCAACCATTAAAGTTCCAACTAAGTTGTGGGTGCATGGTTGTGTATCTGACAATCTGTGATGCAACAGTTTGTAAGGATGTGAGCAGTTTTCAAGGTTGACACTCTCGCTTATCTCACCTGCTTGATCTTTTTTATAGTTTGTGCATGGTTGCACGTGTGATAAGTTTAGGCGATATTATAGAGTACATAAACATTAAAACTGATAACAAATGCTATTTGCTTTTATTTACAATTCGTATTATTTGATAACCTCAACCTCAAGTTAGTACCATATCAAATTCATAGTCTGTACGGGGTATGAGTGTCAGTGAGGCTAGGAGGGTCTAGATGTCCCCCAGAGTACTGCCGGAACGTACCCTGGTACTATCTAATATGCCGGACCATACCCCGCCTACACCACTAACGAGTCTAGGGAGTTGCCTACGCCTACTCCCTAACCCTAACCATATCAAATAGTTACCAGGGTACGTTCCAGTATACTGTACCGTACCCAGGGTACGTTCCGGCAGTACCCTGGGGGACATAGACCCTATGACCATGAGTATGAGCGTCAGTGACAGTGTGACGTGTCAGTGACAGTGTGACGTGTCAGTGACAGCAACTGTCACTCCAACTTGCAGGGCCATAGCCAGAGGTCAATTTTGTAGGAGGCAAATGTTGTGAGTTAAAGAACAAAGAGCGAAGCGAGCCAATAGGGCGTGGTGTATGGGCACTGGCAGCAAGAACAAGTCCGCTGCAGCTACAGCACACACGACGCCATTGACTATATATATACTACGTACGACGTACGTAGTATATATATACTACTATACATATATATATACTATATATACGTATGTATATACTATACGTATACTATACTACGAATGTATATACTATACGTATATATATACTATATATAGTACTACTATACGTAGTATATATATAGTCAATGGCGTCGTGCGTGCTGTAGCTGCAGCGGACTTGTTCTTGCTGCCAGTGGGTATGGGGCCCACTTAAGGGCCCCAGAAGAAATGTTGTAGGAGTGTACCGGCGTATTTGGACACTCGCCCGAAACTGGACGCTCCTAAGTGCACATGCGCGCAGGCGCCTCTTGATTTGCAAGGGCGCACACAGCGCATGCGCAATATGCGCATTAGTCATCTGCGCATCTTGCCCTTCGACAGGGTCGCAATAAACAAACATGGCGGACTTCCCTGTCACTGATGGAAACATTTCATTGAAACAATTTGCAATATGTAGTAAATTAGTAAGACTGTGTTATGTGTGTGAGGTTAAAAGGCAAAACAAAAGAAAACAAAAGAGCATGTCTACTATTTCCTACGGCCGTGCAAAACAAGATTCAAACAAAAAGAAAACAAGAGCAAAACAAAAGAGCATGCCTACGGTGCATCCAAATACGCCGGTACAGACATGCGTCTAAACAGAGGAATTGCTCCGACCTGTGATTGGAGGATAAAAATAGACACCGCCCACTCCCGCCGCATACGCTATGCTATGACCGGTAGGAACGTGTACTAACTATCATATGGAGCGAACGATTTGAGTTACATTTCTATAAATTCTAGCTATTAGTATTATAGACACATGTCTTAGCCTTAATCTCTGTGAATTTTGAGTCTATTGAAGCGCGATTAGTCTAATTAATTAGCAAATATGCACGCGCGGCTATGACCGGTGAAACGAAACGTCACGAATTCTATTTTTATCCTCCAAAAATGGAAAAGTGGGCGGGGTCTATTTTTATCCTCCAATCACAGGTCGGAGCAATTCCTCTGTTTAGACGCATGTCGGTACAGGAGGCATTTGCCTATGCCTATGGTAGCTACGGCCCTGCCAACTTGTCAATGCTATGTCTATGGCAGGTGGTCCACACAAGATGAAATGGCTCGTAAATTACTAAATCCAATTAAAGAATAATGGAAAGTTTACGAAGTTGCATGTAATAATGATTATACCGTGAATAAATGCCTCGTAGCTTCGAAATCAAGAGCACTCTGCATTTTTGATGGTAAATAATGACGTCACTGCCGGCGGCACCACCGCGCCACACAAAACTCAAAACGTCACAAAACAACTAAAACCCACTCATATAACTTCGACGATCACGCTACGAGTCATCTTACTCTGTAGATTGATTATACTATCAATGAATTTGATTGATCGGCAAGGATTTGCTGTTTTGTTAACGGCAATGCTTTGTTTGTGATAATGAATAAAAGTATCTACGTATGCGGCCCTGAATGCTTACCCAATCACAACATGGTTTACAAACTACTTCAGCCCAGGGAGAAGCACACACACGAAAAGTTCTAACGCAGTCAATGGAAATCATATCATGGACCTATTTACTCCAAAACATGGTTACATGAATCATGCATAGTTTTGCGGTGAAACATTTTCCTTAAATAGTTGCCAAGTCAACGGAGATGCGCTGAACTAGTGCATTTCCGACAGGTTAAAACAGGTAATGAATATTTTGTGTGGGGGAAGAAATAATTCCCTAAGGCCTAGTCTAGTGCCTAGGCCAGGGTAGGTATTCTCTCATTGTATTGACATTTCGCAGTGATTGAATATACTGTAACTGTAGCACAACTGTTATAGTATGATTAGTACAATTATTCTACTTTTACGCAATCATCATTAATGATAATTGATTGGCTACACATGCAATGGGATTGTGAGTGTGACAGTGTGACATCGACACCCGTTAACTGCGCAACTTTCCGACCTCTGACAAGCTTAAACTGCCCCAAAATTGGGCAGAGCATTGATGATTAGGGAAGTTATGGGGTTTAGAATACTGCATTAACCTACTGTTATATATTGCATTTGTGCTTGTACGTGCTTGTTCTTATACTCATTGTGTACCGTACACGTTAGAGATCGGAAAGTTGCGTGATTTTTTCCCCAAGAGATGCGTGTTCGAAAATGCATGGTATTCTTATTTATTTCTGTATTATGAAGTTGAAATGGATAGCATTGAAAACGCGCTTGCCGGCCTAAAAAGTGAAAGTTTCACGTCGGAGGAGATATTTGCCGAGATTCAGCAGGAGACTGCAGGCGGAGAGACAGTGCACCTCGATTACCCTACAGACCTGCTAGTGCTAGGTCAAGGAGAGCAGTTATATGCAGCCGAAGAGGAAGTGTATGTCACCGATCGATACATCCGTATAACAAAATATCATATAATCAGGGGTTAATAATGACAAGTTTGACACGTATTCGGTACTGATTTTACTACATTTTGTTGTACGAGTTCGATGTGAATAAAAATAAAAATGTATACAAACGTAGCATAATTTGCGGTTAGGCAACGCCATACAACGGTAGATAACGAGAAAACCATGTCGTGCAAAAGTACGATTTATGTCAAAACGAAAGAAGCTACGCCGTTTGTAATACTACCGGAAGATAGAATAAGGACCAGTGAAAAAAAGAAGCTCATGTTTGTATACATTTGTGTTTTTATTCATATCGAACTCGTACGACAAAATGTAGTGAAATCAGTACCGAATACGTGTCAAACTCCTTTGTCATATATTAACCCCTGATATAATCATCATATCATATTCAGCTGTAAAATACAGGCTAGAAGCCTGTCAGCAGATCTTGTTTTCACACATAGGCTAGCTATATCCATTCTGTGTGAACGACGTTAACTTCTTTCATTTTCAATGCTGTGTTATAAGTGATATCGGAAAGTCCAGCTGTGCTTCTTAGGTCATAGAAAAAGGGGTATAAAATGGCTGAGGCGCACTTAGGAAAGTACATGATTAATGTAAACACTCGTGCGTTTTTAGTTTTTGCATTAACACAAACATTTCAAAATATCCCAAATGACCACAATCATATTTGTAAATGTTTCTGTAATCAGAAACGCACCTGTGAATTGAAGTACGATGTTAGTGAAGAAAATTATAGATCAAAAACATAGACTAGTCCTATCCTAACCATGTTATATATAGGCAACTTATACCCCCTCTTATCTGATCTCAATATGGCGGCGGGGACTTTCTGATATGGCTTATTGCTAATTTTCAATTTATTTTATCTCGTGTTGTGGTTACAGAAGACTTCAAGGCATCAGTCATGGCACCATGCCAAATAAATTTGTTGATAACAGTGCTTGGAAAATTTCTGATGACTCTTAGCTGTCAGACTACTAATAATGTATTCTGCTCTATGGGGAAATAGTTTTACAGAGGCCGAGCAGGTGGCAAACCAGGAGCAGACTAATCGCATTGAGACTGAGATCAGCATCGAAATCAACAATGTCGTCGGCAGCTTCAGTGTTCGATGCCATCTTAACCTCCGCCACATAGCGATGGAAGGCACTAACGTTGAATACAGACGAGAGAATGCGGTAAGTGAATTTGAACACATACGCGATCTATCAACATCAAGATGCTTGCGATTTCGCACGAATAATGCTCCGCAGATTAAACAGTTATAACCATTGTTGATGATTCGGTGCTGACTAAATTTTGCTTCCAACGTTTTAACTCTGTTCATTCTGAGCTAGTAATCTAAGCTAATCTAATCTAGTAAGCTAGCGTCTGCGCATGATCTCTTGTAACCAGCATCATTGCAGCGATTTGCGGTTTTGTGTAGATGGTGACGATGAAGATTCGGAGACCTTACACGACGGCGAGCATGTGGTCGTCGGGAAAGCTGACTGTAACGGGAGCAACCAGGTGCGAACGCTTATAGCTGTGGACACACTAGGCGATTTTTCAGGCGATTGAGTCGGGCGACTGAGTGGACACACTAGGAGATTTTTAGCGCGATTTATCAGCAATTTTTCTCCCGCTGCAACACTAAAACACTCGCGCCACCTAGATTGATAGTCACATGATTGAAAATGGCACCGTTTTATTGGCTGATCAATTGTATAATCGGGCGACTCATTCGCCTACCCAGACACACTAGGCGATTGTAGTCGCGCGACTCAAATAATTGCCCGATTTTATCGAACATGTTTGAGTCGCCCGACTCGAAAATTGCTGGCGACTCACTGGGCACACTAGGCGATTTTTCAGGCTATAGAGTCGCCCGACTCAATCGCCTGAAAAATCGCCAAGTGTGTCCACAGCTTAACACTAATGCCTTGTTCACCCATTCTCCACGTCCTGCTCTATTGTGACTCACCGTCAAAGTTATAGCTGCATGATTATATCAGGAGTGTATAATATAGATCTATATCTATATTATACACTCCTGATTATAGCCATCAATAGTTGTAAGTTGTAATCAAAGTAGTATTCCATGGACGAATTTTGTGCATACCGATGTTTTATTTAGATGAACTTAACACGCAGATGGAACGTTTAGTTGTGTCTTTGGCGTCTACATCCAAACACACACACACACACACACACACACACACAACACACACACACACACACCACACACACACCGCACACCACACACACACACACACACACACACACACACACACACACGCGTGCGCATACACACACTAACTAAAAAAATAAGATAGCTTGTAAGAGTATTATTAGAGGTCAGTCTGAACGTTGTACGTTTACGGTTGAAAATCTTACCTGCGACATCAGGAGTTTCTTGACAGCGGGCAACTTTCTTTCGGGCGGTATCTTGTCGATGCTTAACATTTCGACGTGTGAGTGATGCCTTTCTTTTTGGTGGCATTAGGTGGGTACTTGTTTTAATCAATTTTTTGCCGTGTGGAAACTTGGACTTACGTTATAACGAAATGCGCTCCATTTAAGAAACAATGTAAAAACAATGTATAACATTTCTCTGGTTAGATTAGATGGAGCGACTTAGAAAATATTAGATGGAGCGCCTTTGGTTATACATTGTTTTTTACATTGCCATTGTGTTTTCGTGTTGTGACGTTGTCCCGCGCTCGGTGTAAAAATTTCCCACTTTTTTAATGTTTTTTAACGTGGAATATGAAAAAAATAAAACTGTGGGAAAAAAAAGCCCATGCAACGTGTCATGATCTGTAGAATGTTCCGACCAAGTTTGGAGAGGACCCGTTGAGCGGTGCGGAAACGTATAGACGCACACAAACACAGACAGAAATTCCCTAATTTATAGTAAGATAAGTTAAGATATAAGGTTTAAAAAAGTTTTATTTCATTGTTGCACAAAGTATTTTCACAGATTAGCAAGCACTAATATGAACCCTGATGATGCTGTTGCTGTGCTGTCTGCACATGCTTGAGTAAATTTTGAAAGCACAAACATGACAGTTTGTTCACATTCGTGAACTATACTCATCAAGTTTAAAAATATTATCCATTGCGGAAATGAAACTTGCTTACTATATCCCGTTTGTCTCGCAATGGGTGGTCCAAAAGATAATAGAAGAACACTCTATTAACTTCTATTATCTTTTGGACCACCCATTGCGAGACAAACGGGATATAGTAAGCAAGTATACTCATCAATTTACAAGATTTGTTTGTACTAAACGTGACGTTTCGTGACATTTTTATGTGGCAATTAAGAAATGGTAGTTATTACTTATTACATACAGGAACATTTATGGCTGTTTTTATTTTGGGGGAATGCCATTTTCATACCGAAATGCCGCCGTCCACACCAGACCTATTATAGCATGTTTTGATGAAACCCATGTTGATATCAGGAAGAGTTTATTACAACCTTACTAATGGCAACATTGGGAAAAACGACCAGTGTGAGTACCACCCATCAACCTAGAGCGCACTAACAAAGTTCCTGCTGTGTTGGACACCGCTAATGGCTTCCGTTCTTCACGACGCACAGCCCCCCGTCAACTGACTGCGAGCGGCCATATTTCATCATGAACATAATGCTCATAACCTATGCTATTGAAGAAATGAGAATGGTTTTTTTATTGAATCATTATTCAGTAGGATGAGTGACGAAGGTATTGAAGCATACTTGTTATAGGGTACAAAAGTATAAGCACTTTTAAAAAAAACTGAATTTTTCCGATTTCAGCGAGCCGGACTCGAGGATAGCAGCGCGGCGGTTCTCGCGCAAGCTGCAGCGACTCGGCTACAAGGTGCGGCTCGCTAACTTTCGCGTCGTCAACGTGCTCGCCACCTGCAGGATGCCGTTTGCGATCCGCATCGCTCAGTTCTCACAAGCGCACCGCGCCAACGCCAGGTGAGGGCAACCTCTGCGCACACACAGGCATGCAGGCATGCACGCAAGCACTCACGCAAGCACGGACGCACGCACGCGCGCAGGCGCGCACGCACGCAGGCACGCACGCAGGCACGCACGCACGCAGGAACGCACGCACGCAGGCACGCACGCGCGCACGCACGCAGGAACGCACGCAACGCAAGCACGCACGCAGGCACGCGCACGCAAGCACGCGTAGGCATGCACACAGGCACGCAGGCAGGCACACGCACGCAGGCACGCGCACGCAAGCACGCGTAGGCATGCACACAGGCACGCAGGCAGGCACACGCACGCAGGCACGCGCACACAAGCACGCGTAGGCATGCACACGCACGCACGCACGCACGCACGCACGCA